CCCCAAAACCCCAAAACCCCAAAACCCCAAGTGGAGATCAGTTAGGCGATTGAGATCGAAATAATAATTTAAACATTAAAATGCAAATAGAAACCCCGCAAATTTATTGGCATGATAACTCAGCCAGAATTATGTCGATTGATGTCTACCCCAATTCAAACTATTTCATCACCACCTCAGTAGTATCCGATGAGGACACTGGCATCAGAGTAATTTACAATCTTAATAAATTTGCTTCTATAGTTTTGGGAGATCATACCAGAAAGCCACTACTAAGATCATGCTAAATTTTCACCCGGTGGAATATCCACTACTACGACAGGAAGCAAGTATAGAATCGAATATAGATATGACCTTCAAGGCGGGCACACTTCAACTATAAATGTAGTCAGATTTAGTCCAAATGGGTAATACCTTGCTTCCGGCTCTGATGACTAAATGGTCATTATATGGAGCCTCAAAAGTGTTCCAGTATAGTTTGGAAGCAAAGAGGAAGTGATTTAATGGGGCCATCCTAGACAACTTAGAGGGCACGTAGGCGATGTCATGGATTTATGCTGGTCAAGATAGAATGGACCGAATGATTAGAGCTGCTATTTGGTGTCCTGCTCAGTTGATGGCACTGCAATTCTATGGAATATCGGAGGAAATAAATTCAGCAAAATTTAGACATTTGATGGACATAAGAAATTGGTCTAAGGAGTTTCATTGGACCCAATGATGAAGTATATTATTACAATGAGTAGCGATAGCACAATAAGAGGCTATAAAAATAGGAAACTAAAGACTCAGCTTCAGTTTTTCCATAAATTTGTAAGATAATTTTATCGTTTATTATTTCATTTAGACTCTTAAGAACAGAGAAGAAGAGACAGAGGGAACAGATGAGAATGTGCCAATGAACATTGACTCAGGTAATAACTAAAACGAATCAGAAAATAATGTAAATGCACCTGCAGTTAGCGGAAATTAAGAAGCGAAGAATAAAAAGTGCTCACACAGAATGTTCCTGGATGATGTCGAATACCTGAGCTTTGTAAGAAGACTCACTTGGAGTCCAGACGGCACTTTCTTCCTTACACCAGCCTCAGTTTTCTAAGATTTACAATCTGAAAGTAAAAATTTGTACACGGTTTATGGATTTCTTAAATCTGACATTACTCAGCCAGCTTTCATGCTTCCAGGAATCAAGTCATATGCTACTTGCATTAAATTCAATCCATATCTCTATAAGAAGTCAACTGAGCCTATGAACCCAGAGAGACCAGCCCTTTTAGATCTGCCTTATAAAGTGATCTTTGCAGTAGGTTCTGGAGAACAAGTCATTGTGTATTCAAGTGAAAGTGTCTATCCAATGGCAGTGCTTGGAAACTTGCATTATGCATCTATTAATGATCTAAGTTGGATCGTCACTAGCGATACTAATGTTAAGCTCTTAGTAGCCTCTAGTGATGGTTTCTGCTCCTTTATCTCCTTTGAAATCCAAGATAATGGTTTAACTCTACTAGGACAAAGATTAATTTCTAGTGAAGTACCTGAGAAGCTAAAAGGTATTTATGAGGCATAGGAGAGAGTAGACTTTAAGAGATTGGAGCTAGAAGCAATTGAAAACAATAGTAAAAAGAATCAATTTAAGAATGTCACCTTCAAATCTAAAATTAATCCTACAAGTGCAGGCACAACAAATAACAATAATAGCACTTTTAAAGGACCTGGAGATGTCGAAATGATAAGAACTTGATCAGATATAGATTAATGCTGCCATAAAATATATACTTCTATTTTGTTTAATAAATTGAGTTTTGCTTTATTAGATTTATTCATAATTTCATCAATCTTATTTTAATTTTCATTAGGGGGTTTTGGGGTTTTGGGG